AAACAAACAACAAAAACAAAAAAAAAAACTAACAAAAAAAAAAAAAAAAAAAACACACAAAAAATACTAACAACAAAAAAAAACAAAACACAAAAAAAACAAAAACAAACAATACAAAACAAGATATAACAAAACATAAACAACAAGAAAACACACAAAAAAAAAAACACAACAAAAAAAAAAACAAACAACAAAACACAAACAGAACACAAAACCAAAAAAACAACTTCATATTCTACATGGAATCATTCGCTCAATTATGGCATGCGTCGGTACCTTGTGAATAGACTGCTATGGTAATATTTTGGTTATTCCGCTAAGACTAGGAATGTTCTGTAAAGATAAAAGAAACATAAGTCAATTAAATATAGATTTTAAAACAATAAAAAAATGTTATAAAAATTATTGATGTATAAACTTAGATGTTATTAATTTTTCGTATTAACAAAGATAACATCACCTATGTAGACATCAGATGGCGCTCAGAACAAGTCCGGTTTTAAAAAATCAGTAAATATGTTTCTAGTTCAGGGCTTATACATATGTATGGATATTGGATTTCTGTTTTGGAAGAATACTGATCGATCATATTATTTAGACAAAGCCTGAATAAGGTTGCTGCAGATCACTGCCCCAGTGGATATTTCTTTGGAAATATTTTAAAGTTAAACCTATACATTATATGGAGTGAATTATAACGGTAATATAAGACATATTATTTATTTGATGATTTTAGCTTTACAAAAATGAATGATATAGTGAAATATATAAATGCTAAAAGAAGCAAAATAATAATATATTTTTAACTTAATAATGTAAAATGTATTATAAATTCATTGTGTAATAAAAAAATTTTTCTGAGAAATCAGCTGTTTAAAATACGGGAATACATTTTAAAGGCGCTGTGAGTTGTTAAGCAATTAATAGGTATGGCAGTCCGTATGAGATCATCAGACAAAATGACTGACAAAGGTATGCCAATCCATTGATAGCTGATAGTTGGCGATCAAAGTCGAGTATTGCCATCTTACTCTCAGCTCGTTTTTTTTAAATTCTGAGCGAAAACTTTTTCAATGCTAATTATAATGTATATATATACATTACAGTAAAAAAATGTAATAAAATTTACGAAATCCGAGTTTTAGCGTATCACGTTAACTTTCAATGCGTTCAAAATCCATGAAAATGTACCGAAACTTTTCGGTTATTGTAAATAAGCAAAGCTGACAAAGCGCGGGGCTTTACACTAACAACAAAGCGTGGTCTGTTATAGCATTAGCCAGCAATTGCTGTTTGCGGCGGTTTGTCTACTGTTAATGGGTGATGGAGGTAAATTAGGTACGGATTGGAGCTTTAATGGCGATCGCGACCCGCCAATTTGGATGGATGTTTTGCTAGCTTCGATGAATGACTGAATGCAGATTATATTGTCTTGATGTAAATTGTGATTTAGTGTGTGGTTTTAATGCGTGACAGCGTGTGATTTATGCAGGGTCGCGTTGTTATTTTGTAAAGGATTTTTTAATAGTTTATCGAAATATGTGGTGCTAAGTTGCACCTAATGATACGGCTGAAATGACTCAAATGTATGAATATATGTATATGTAGATCTACATATATACTTATAATTTAAGAAACTATTTTGGCTAAATACATATGTATGCGAATTCTATGAAGAGCTTGTTTATTTTCTAATTTTATCTGGCGTTCAAAAACAATTCTGATATATTTACATAGGTTTGTATGTACTAGATATATGTATCTGATGTGGATATATTTGTGCGAAATGATGAAGTATATTTTTAAGGCCGTACGAGGTAAGCGTGATAAAGTGAGTATTGTGAGTATTTGAAATTTATTAAAGATTTGTTTAGAGTAAATTACTTATAAAAAAATGTATAAAAAAGGAGGCTTAATACACACTATCGGATATACACTATACATTTCATGCACATAGTTACTGAATTTCATTTCTATTAGTGCATTTGATACTTAAGGTTTTTCTATGGTGATCAAAAAGATTTAATCACAAGTCGCCTAAAATTCCACTCAATAATGGCAATAATCAATGAAATGGTTCTTTGTGTGAATGAGAGAAAGTTTTTGTGGAAAAGCTAATAGTAAGTATAGCATAAAATGGATTTAGGAGT